CCCGCAAATCACCAAATGTTCGAAGTCTGAAGAAGGCCTTTAACAGTGCCGCCAAGTCCTGTAAAGGTGTTCTCCGCAAGGCCCGCTTCGATCACATTGGCCGTATAGGAGCTAAATTAGCCTCCTTTCCATCCGGAAGCAAGGCTTTCTGGTCCCTGGCCAAAACAGTCGAAGCCAATTTTTGCCGGTCGTCGCTGCCGCCTTTAATTAAACCTGACCTGGCTGGCTCACACCTCCAAAGAGAAGGCTGACTTGTTTGCCTCTATATTTGCGAATAACTCACAGCTAGATGCTGCTGGCGTAAACCCACCTAAGCTTCCTCAGTGTTCTTCTGCCATGTTGGAAGTTCGCATCCATCAGAAAGAGGTACTAAAAACGCTAAGCACTCTAGACGTGAATAAAGCCAGTGGGCCCGATGGCATTCCAGCTATTGTCCTGCGGAATTGAGCTCCTGAGTTGTCTCCTATTCTGACTCGCCTATATCGCTTATCCCTTGAGATTGGCCAAGTTCCGAAAACCTGGAAGCTTGCCAATGTCCAGCCAGTGCCCAAAAAGGGTAGTCGTGCCGACCCTGCCAACTATCGACCTATTGCAATCACCTCCATACTCTGTAAGATTATGGAGCGTGTATTGAACAACCGTCTCCTCGCTTACCTCGAAGATAACGATCTCCTCAGTGACTGCCAATTCGGTTTCCGCCGTGGGCGATCTACTGGGGATCTTCTTGTGTATGCTACCCACTTATGGAGTGAAGCCATAGAGAAACGCGGCGAAGCTCTCGCCGTTTTTCTTGATATTTCTAAGGCTTTTGACAGGGTCTGGCACGCAAGTCTCATTGGCAAGCTTCCTTCATATGGAATCGCTGTCGGACTTTGCAACTGGATTGCAGATTTTCTGAGGGGCAGATCGATACGAGTGGTCATTAATGGCACATCGTCGGATCTGCTTGGTATTAATGCCGGTGTCCCCCAGGGATCTGTCCTCTCCGCAACTCTATTCTTGCTGCACATCAATGATCTGCTCCTAACTCCTGGTATCTTTGGGTATGCAGATGACAGCACAGTTTCGGGGAGATATCTGCCTGATGTGAAGTCTGATGCAGATGTCCGATCATTAAGGGAGGCGATGGTGGAGGGAGTGAATGCAACCCTGGAAGCTGTTTCCCTCTGGGGTGAAGCCAACTTGGTTGGATTCAATCCCTCTAAAACACAGGCCTGTCTCTTCTCGACGAAACGGAGTCCATTCCATCTAACTCCGACTTTCCGAAATGTCTCCGTGCCGGTTAAAGACCATCTCGAGCTCTTGGGTATGGACATCTCATCCAGCCTCAATTTCGGTCCCTACATCGAGTCCATTGCTAAAACCGCTGCCAGAAAACTTGGAATACTTTCTAAGGTCAGGCGATATTTTACATCTGAGCAGCTCCTTAACCTTTACCGAGCCCAAGTTCGCTCCTGCTTGGAGTACTGTTGCCACCTTTGGGACGGATCTGCTCGGTATCAGCTGGATGCACTGGACTCGGTGGAACACCGTGCGAAGAGACTCATAGGCAATGACGCTCTCGTTGAGGCTAATCTTCAGAGCCTCCACCACCGAAGACGTGTAGCTTGCCTTTCGGTGTTTTATCGGTTACATTTCGGAGAGTGTGCGGAGGTATTACATAATTTGATCCCCCCTTCCCCTTTCCACCACCGGACGACCAGGCGCGGCGAGGGCTTCCACCCTTATGTTGTCGAAGTTCCTCCTATTCGCACGAAGCGATTTGCTTCGGCCTTCATTATACGAACGGCTAGGGAGTGGAACTCCTTGCCGAGGTATGTTTTCCCGGACCAATATAACCTGGACATCTTCAAGCCCAGAGTGAACACGCATCTTCTAGGCAGGCGTGTACCATCCTAGGCCTCATCATCGCTTTCCATCAGGTGAGATTGTAGTCAAACGCATTGCCTATTTTGCATAAAAAAAAAAAAAAAAAGATTATCCCTAAATTATCTGGTAACCATTTAAGAATAACTTTATTCTTTTGACTCAGAAGTAGAGTCTGTGCAGGAAGAGAATGGGATTTAGATTGGAGGGCGCTGTAGTGCTTTTCTACCGTATTTGAAAGGTTTTTCCCCTTTTAGACATGATTAAATACAAAAAACCACAAGAAATCACAACATCAAACAAATCCGTATCAATACAAAACTTTGACGTTTTACAGATTTGGGTTTGATAGCCAAATAAAAATCTTAATGTTAGTTCCGTTTTTCGCCACGCCCATTCTCTTTCCGCACAAACTCTAGTTAGTATTTTTTATGTAAGTAAATGAAATAAAAAAAAATATAAGTATGGTTTAAATAATGTATATATCGTAAAGAGGAATATTTTTTGCATACTGGAAACTCAACTATGCAAAGTCATCATTAATCTTATATATAAGCATTTAAATGTTGTGTGTTCAATTATCCCGTCTAAAACCTGGACCGAGTGATATTTTCTACTAAAAATTTCTTCTGATTATTTTTTCCTATTATTAAGTAATTTCAAATGCATATTTACTACTTAAATTAAAATCAATATCAACCTTAATATTTTTTAATAATCCACAACAACACCCATTGGGTAAGTTACTTAAGTACACCCTTCAGTCTGACAGAACACTTTCAGAGACACCACAAGTAAAAAAAAACATAGGTATTATAGGTAAGGAAATCAATAATAAAACCCGTAAATGAAATGATTCTTAACGATATGCCTTCGTTGTCTGTCACATGCTTAGGTCACAGGCTCAGGACTCAGGTCACAGGGCTCTATACTAAAGACTCCATCTGGTGTCGGAAAATAGGTAGACACCTGTTTTTCAGAAGGCGTGTTAGTGTTATTTTTATTAACAACAAATAATAAAGTTTAAGATAAAAGAGGGATATTTCGACTTGTTTTGATCTCGTTTTAAATTGTTTACACTTTACCAGAGGGGCCATCGAGCCCCTGTCAGTTTTTTCGTACCATTCTTTAATATTTGAGGGAACTTTACTAATGTATAAGATCTTTACTAATGTTTAAAATATTTTATTACATTATATTAATTTTGAGCATTTTAAAGTCGTTTTATATTGATTAATAACCTTGTGGAAGTATACTCAATAGAAAACTAAAAATTAATTACAGATACAGATACTGATATCGATTCTGGCATGATTCTCTAAATCTAAACTTAAATTTGACAACAAGTGTAACCTTGTCATCCGTTATACAGAACGAAAAGGAGAGACTGGTGTTAAATTTAGTTTTAAGTTTAGAGAATCACGCCAGAATCGACACCAATGAAAAACAAACTACAGATAAACATGTGAAATTTTCCACTTAAAGGGCCAACCATTATATGTTCTCCCCCCACAACATACGAAATTAATTTATGATTATACTGGTGTCGATTCTGACATAATTCTCTAAACCTAAAATTAAATTTGAAAACAGCGTATCCTTGTCATTCTCTATACAGAATGAAAAGGAGAGACTACTGTTAAATTTAGTTTCAAGTTTAGAGAATCCTGACAGAATCGACAACACTGAGTTAGCTACGTTATTAAGTCAAGTGTACGTAGAAAGTCGTGACATTAAATGATGGCGCCACTAATATACATGTAGCAACCCTGTACAGTCGGACCAAAATGATTTTGATACTAGCAGTTCATTCAAGTAAAATAGGTAATTAATAAGACACACTATACAGTCGTATTTTGTTTCTGTTTTATATATAGTAGGTACCTATGCTTATCAAAAGTTTAGCCAAGCATATTTAATTGAATCAGAATAAAATTATTATAGATAAAATAGTACTTTATAGTGTAAAAGTGTGTAATGTTGGTGATTACCGCTGAGGTGCCATTGAGACCAGAGCCGTTAGGTAATCATCAATACACACAAGTTTATATCATACGACCTTTTTTAACACACTTGTTAAGAAAATAATACTCAAAATAATTTTATAGTATATAAAAAGTTTATTTAGAGAAGCAATTTGTAAATGTGCAGTTAGTAAAATTAGTGATGGGTATCTTCACTAAAAGCATCGGGACATGGTTCTTTATGTGACCATTTCTTTCTTTGGTCGGCCTTGCCTGTTTTCCCAGGAGTTTCAAACTTTCTATCATTCTTAAACCCTTCGTTGACTATCCGATTCTCTGATTTTCCTGAAAAAAAAGTAAAAAAATATGTAACGGAATAGAAACAATAACTTATTGACATGAAGCAATTAATTCAAAATTGGTAGAAAACCTGACTGAGTTGAACCATAATAACGTATCAAAAGAAATGGTCGTACTACAATATTACCTATTTACAATGTCAATCTAACCTAAAAATGTGCATTCGCCCATAAACATCATCCAAATCCCACAAAATTCATCCAGCTTGGTAGTCTTCGAAACACCGCTGGAAAACTTTAAAAATCACTTCCCGCGTGCCACTCCCATTTACTTTACTCATTTTTATACCTTTCTGCGTAGTTTCGTCTTAATTTATTACAGTTTAATCCAAACAATAAAAAATACAAAAGGAAAACTGTTCCACAACTGAAACTCGATGACAGCTGATGTACATAAGTGTGGTGTTGCCAGACACATGAACAATGTTAGTTCCTCAAACATTCATGTCACGACTTTATAGACAAACTGTAATTAAATAAAACATTTCGATCAATGCCAACTTAAAGAAAAAACACGTTAATTTTCTGTCACTCAGTTGGTACAATTGCACGCATCACACGAAAACATTACTTTTGAGATTGCTCGATTGTGCGAAGCGTTGCTGTAGTTGAAACATTCAACGTTAAGAATTATGCCGCATAATGCGCTCTAGTGCTGTAATTGGAAAACCACCTCTATTTTGTGATAATTCTGTTGACTGTATGCATCCTTATATTTCATGCCATTGCCTTCGTAATCACAATATTTTAAAACAAATAATTTGACAGTTACTGTCAGTGTCGGTCTGACGTAGCGTAATTTCCCGTCACGTCCGGCCGTCAGTTTTCAGCCGTCACTCAAAAAGAAAAGGGCGCTTTGTAAATTAAAAAAATAAACGTATCCTAAAAGTTACGTTATCTTCCTTTAATCCGTAATTGAAGAAATTAAACTATGGCTCAGCTGGTTAACAGTAAGAAAATTCTAGAATTCTTGGAACTTGTTGGTCGTTTAAAGGTAAGTTTTCTATGTTTCTGTTCCTAACGTGTAGAAAAGTAATAATTTTATGATATATTTTATTAAAATTATCAATTGATTGCAGCATGTTAAGCGGACTGGTTGGCTATTATGCGACATCGATGAATGCGAATCTATAGCGGGCCATATGTACCGCATGGGTATAATGACTTTCCTTCTGACTGAAGAGAACAATCCCACCAAGTTGGATCGTTTGAAATGCCTACAAATAGGTACTAAAGAAAATTTGCATTTATTTCGCTATTTATAATGTAAGAACAAATTTCGCTGAAATTGATAAGATCTTATACCAACTGTACCAATGTAAAATGTTGCATTGTTTGCAGTGTGACCATGGTAATGAAATTTATACCAAAGTTTTTTTTACATGTTGTCCTAAAATGGTGCATATTCTTCCATACCCTTTTTTAGGATTGATAACATTAATCTAATAGACATGAATAGTAAATAAAATAGTGTTCAATATTATCCTAATATAATAAATCTTACACTCACCACCAATAAGTAGTATTAGATAAGCTAATTTTATCTCCTTGTGGTATATTTTATAGAACCTAAAAATGACCAAATGTATAGGTAAACCGCATAATTGAGACCTCGCCTGTGGGTACAGGGTGTGGGGTAGGACGACGGGATGCCCGCACCTCTCACAGTCCCCATTTTCGTTCTCCCCCAAACCCTTCACCCTGCAGGCGAGGATATAGTTAATTGGTCTATCTATAATAACATTATAAGTTTCTTGTATAACTTACCTTCGCTATGATTTTCTCAATTTCGTTTTTTTTATATATGTATTACCTAATATGTTAAAAATTTCCAAGCATTCATTATTATTAAGACCATGGAAGGCCATGCTCCTTTGAAGGTCAACTTATAAAAAATCATAGTTATTGTCATGTGACGATAAATTCCTCCCTCTCACACTAAGCACCATCAAACTCATGAACACAGACGCGGCGGCGAGTCGCTCGCGTCGTATTTTGTGATTGCGGTCCCTTGCTTCGTAGAATTCGGTCATCGACGATAAAATTGTAATTCGCGCGCACAGCTAAAAGTAAATTAGTTATTGAAATAACCTTTGGCCTTATTTTTTTAAATAAATTGTCATATGATGATTTGTTATGGTACTAAAGAAAATAATAATAATTTTGCTTTGATTTCAGTTAAAATATCGGTAGTGTCCTATAAAAGTCGGTAGTTCCTTATAAGGCCAATCAAAAATTTTACGGTTTGTCTTGCTAAGGTATATGGACCTTACTAAGAACATTTACAAATCATGGAAATATAAACACTTAGTATATAAATATGTACCGGAAAAGTTTTATGACTTAACCTTCTTAGAAACATTTTGGCCTTACAAAGAATGGACCCATAAAAAGGCCATTATAGGCCAATTTTGTTATAAGTATTTAATTGCATTCCAAAAAGCATTTTCAACTTATTTGTTCTTGATATGATACTCATAAATATATTCTTTTATTTTATTCAAGAAAATATTCTTTATTTGATAGTGTTCAAGGAATATTCATTGAGTTTTTTAAAGAAGATTGTAATCTGTTAAGCATTTAACGTTTTGTTTAAATGAAAAAGCTTTTTATGTAGTTTTAGTAAAAGCAGATATTTCGATAATTTCAACTCTAGTTTTAAGTTGAACAACTGATTTATAATATTGGCCTTGTATAGACACCTGTTCCTAGTAAGGCAGTTTGGAAGAGCTTAATAAAAGTTAAGTTTAATAAATAGTGATTAAATTTAGAGTAAATAAAGTAATTCATATTGCGTAATAGCAATAACACAAAGTGGTAATTAATAATTCGTTTTTCATTTATCCAGTAAATGAACTAATAAAAATTGTTTATATGTTAGAGAGGCCTTCCATGGTCCACCCATCTTACTACGACAATGGCTCGTACTAAGGACAATGGACACTGACAATGGCTATTACTACAGTACTACATATTTCTATTTTAACAGTGATTTTTAATGTATGAGAGCCATTACCCATATGTGCTCAATATTACATAGTTATAAAGAATCCTTCCTAAATATCCATATTGAAGAAACATCACTACACACTAACTTCAAATTTTGAATGCAAACTTGATAATTTTGAGCATATTTGACCTTATTTATGTGTCCTATGTTTCCATAATAGAACGCAAAATAACAATGTATTTCTAACACATCAATCAGTCTAGCCCCAAAATATGCTCTGTAAGGCTTGTACTATGAGATGCTAGAGTAAGGGATAGAAATATATAATGAAGATACATATATAACTTAACTTTTTTAGAAATGTATATAAACAGCCTTGACTTACTTACAAATACTCATATTCATACCTTACAAACTTTTGCTCCAATTCATACTCCGGAGCTCGGAGTAGGTGGCACCATTAAAACCTGTATACATTACCAGTCTGCTACAGAGGAAGTCTAAAAACACAATGTTTTTACCTGACTTATTTAGTTTTACCAATAATGTTCCACCAAGTTTAAAATAATATGACATTACATACTCATAAATCTTTATTCATTCTATGATTTTTTGATATTTCAGCTTTAGTCCATGACTTAGCAGAATGTATAGTTGGTGATCTTACTCCACATTGTGGTGTCACTCCAGATGAAAAACACCGTAGAGAAGATGAAGCTATGAAACAAATAGCTGATCTCACTGGCATAGCCGGTGATAGAATGTATGAGCTTTATCAGGTAAACATATTATACATATACTGTTTAATATAATAAATTTTACTGTGAATAACTGATTGCCTTTGAGGATATTTGTATATGTCATAGGATGATATTTTAAATGTAAAGTTTTTTTCTGGCACTTGCCTAACTGCTGCCCCAGCATGATTGCTACTAACCTAACATAGTGTGAACCCAAGAATATTTTATAATGAGCTAACTATTCTTTTCATAATCTTACTGAGGAGACCTTGATTAAAACAAAAAGGGAAGATACAAACGCTCATACTTGCATCAAATAGATCCGACTCAACTATATAAAAAGCAACTCGTGAGTGTGTGAACGCACACGTCTGTATTCGTGTAAACATTCAATCGAGCGAACGAGACAGAACTGTACGGAAAAACGAGTCCTTACGGCTAAACTGTATTGTTGCCCTTTTCTTGATAACACAATGGCGATTACGTAAATAACATTCACGACAAACCATAATTTTCGAGAGAAAAATGTTTTTACGATTGAAAAGTATTCCGGAGCCATTTGTTATTTGATTTCGAACTATTTGTGTTCTTTATAAAAGCATCGAAGGCATTGTTTTATCTTTATAATACAGAATATACGCAATATTGTTATATTGATTGCACATGCAGCGTGTTTGAATTTCCAATTGTGACTAAGGCGCTTTGCAGACGACGGGGCGGGGCGGGCCGGTCAATTTCGCCGCGAATAATAGCACAAAGTGAATCCTATACTTCAAACGCACACAGCGGTCAAAAAGACCGCGCCTTGGGTGCCCGGTGTGCACTGGTGGCGCGGCATGTCCGCGGCTGCCCGCCGTGGATCATACAAACCAGTTTATATGCAGTATGCAGACGGCGGCGCGGGGCGGTCATGGACTATTCACTAGAACGAACGTCCTAAACTGACCGCCTCTGCCCGTCGTGTGCTTTATGTACGCGGCGCGGGCAGCCGCAGACATCGACGGGCAGACGCGGTCTTTATTGCTTCGTGGACAAAATGCCCGCCCAGCCAACTGCTCAACGCCTAAGGCGACTAGTGGTCATACATCACGATTTAAGCGGATCACTTTAGAGCCACGAGTGCCGTATCTTCCCTTTGAGTTTTAATCTAAGGGGAGACTCGTGTTTTCGCAAAAATTCTATATTTTTCGGTAAGACTGAGAAATGCCATCTAATTATCTGCGTTTTCGCGGAAATTCGATTTATCAAATCACCTTACGACTTAAATAAAGGGGAACTTGGAAGAGGAATCTATGGACTTAGGCTCGTATTACAGAATTACAACTAAGTGTTGATCTTTACTTGAGTACAGTTACAAAGGCATGTCGCTATATATATATATAGCACATAGCAACATCCCTTTCTAACTATGCTCAAAACTAGATCAATCAATCTTTCTATAATACAGGCCTAAGACTTTAGGCACACAAATATTAATGTGAATGAGAAAATAATTCTTGCATAAAAGGGAGCAAACAAGTATATGGCCTGCCTGATGTTAAACAGTTTTAATATCTATAGATGCTTGCAATACTGTACACCCTTATAACATTTTATAAAACCTTAAATTATTTGAATATTACATTTTTTTAAACAGCTTTTAGCCTTAATTTCCACTGTTATCTTCTAGGAATATGAGAAGCAGAGCTCCCCTGAAGCGGCATTCGCTAAGGACTTGGACAGGTATGACATGATACAACAAGCATTTGAGTATGAGAAACGCGAGAATGCACCTAGAAAGCTTCAAGAATTTTTCTCAGCAACTGAAGGGAAGTTCAAACATCCTTTCATAAAAGAATTAGTCAAAGAGTTAAACAGACAAAGAGATGAATTTGAAAAAAAATCCTCATTAGATGGTGAAGCTATTTGAATAGTCATAAAAGCATACATTTATCAATTTTATTAATTTTAATTTAAATCGTTTAAATTATTTGAAAGTGCATAAAACTATTAATATTGTGATTTTTCAGTAACATACAGATTAACACATTTTAACAGCTATTTATTTAACTAAATTATGAGATCAATAATTCAAGTAGGTATTTTGTAACAAACCAGCATAGATAGCTATTTCTTACTTTTTGAAAATACTTACAAAAGAAGTGCCATTTTGCATTTTTGTAATGATATTGTATTATACTCAAGTAGGAGTAATGTCTGCTAATTATACTTAAGCCACCTTAATACAAAATATTGACTAAAGTTAAACCTGGGTTAAAACTGGTGTTGTCACTTATGTTTGCTAAAAAGAATTTACAGACAACTTTGGTTGTAAACCAAGACTAACTTTAGCATGCATTTTGGAATAAGGAGGAATATTAATAAAATTTTTAAAAAATGGTTAAGTAATATAATACAAAAAGGTCCCTATTTGAAATGCATTATAAAGTACATAATTACTTATATGAAAGAGAGAAATTAGAGGAAACTCAAAAAGATATAGAATTTGGTATTAAGATTTGGCCTGTTGATTATTTGATAATACTATTATGCATTACATATTTGCACAAGCTAAGCGAGTCTTATAAACGCATGATTATTTTCATTGTATTTAACAAGGTTACTTATGTGAAACTTTGTAAGTAATATTTTTTATCTTCTTTGCAGTTTCCTTTAATAAAAATTATCACGTGTATAGAGATAAAAAAGATGTGTACTAAGCAAAAATGTTTGTTTGAGGTCTTGGCCGTTTTGACTCATTTCACAATAAGTTTGTTGCTGGTCAACCATTCTCACATTGTGAAGTGAATCAGCGTGTGTGTGTGTGCGGTACGATGAAATAATTTACTCATAACCCATTCATGGATAACATATCTATCCCCAGAAAGAGGTGACTTATTTGTTTAAATATTTTTTTGTATACTTAATGTTAAATAACAATGGATATTTACAAACTTAACTGTGATAAGACTCTTACTAGCGGGGAATGTTTGTTAGTCATCCATCATTACACAATTCTTCAGTGCCGTGCCCAAGGCAGCTTGTTAAGAAATATCGCGATTGATTCATATTTCCTTTTTCATTATTTATAAAAGATAAAAGTATTGGTGTTGTACTTACTTAACGATTATTACATACTGGTAATGATGTCGATTCTGGCATGATTCACTAAAGCTAAACTTAAATTTGACAACAGTGCATCCTTGTCCTTCTCTATACGGAATGAAAAGGTGAGACTGACCTTAAATTTAGTTTTAAGTTTAGAGAATCACGCCGGAATTGGGCCCACTAGCTCATTTGCAAAAATCCTGACAAGAATTTTAGTAACTATGTTAACGTTGTCGAGCAATTTACAATTTAAGTAACACTTATGCCTAATTGCAAGCAATAGAGTGCTCTATTAGGATATAAGGGCCTTTTTCGATTTCTGTGATCATTTGTTCACATTTTATATTAATATGTAATTACATATTATGTCACTTTTCTATAGGTCTGTAACATTAAAGCCGTCTGGCTAATTGAACTTGTAAATTATTGTTAGTAGGTGTTTGTTTACATAATCAACAATCTCTTATGACGGTGACTAAATGATATCAAACCAAAGGATATTGAAAAAAAACTAAGAAGCCTCTTTCAGTTTCCACATTCAGTTCAATGTGTCAAACAGACAGACAGAACTTCAAACAAATTCATAATTTTAATTGCGGTATTTTTCGAATTCCTTCGGCTTTTAGCAAACGCCAAAAATATATTCCAATCTCTGAATTTCATTGATGTATTATAAGCAAACCTAGAAGTTTGTAAGTTCTATATTTTTTTACCAAAACCATAATTATCTTTTCTGTCTTTGCCTAGTCTATCCAGAACGACTTAAGCGAATACATCAAACATTACTTTATTTTGTCCACATGTTGGTTTTTAGGCCATACTCGGATTTTATCTTGTTAGGCGTTTGAAGTTGATCTCTTCTAAGACATGAATGAGTCAATCAAATACCCAAAACGCTATTATTAATAAACAAAAACTAATTACTAAACTTGGATTATTTTCCATGCTTTGTCTCTGTTCATTGAATGACAAATGACATTTGAGTGATATGAACAAAACACGGTGTAACTAGTCTAGGCTTATTCCTCGTTTATTACTATGGTTATTAGTTTATTAGTTTGACTTTTGCTAAGAGTCTTTAGGCCCGTATTATAGAAAGATTTAAGTAATTAATCTAGTCTTGAGCATAGTCAGAAAGGGATAATGCTCATGCTCACATCCCTTTCTAACTGTACTCAAGTAAAGAACAACAATTAGTTGTCATTCTGTAATACGAGTAGTCTAATATAGAAGCGTCGGAACTTTGATATTTGAACTTACCGCATATACAGATAACGTTACAGAGCTAGCTAGCTAGTTAAGCATAAAAACATCACCCAGCACAGCTCCATGTATTTTTGGGAAAATTGGAAAAACAGTACTAGAGTAAGTTATTCAAAATAGCTACTTACGTAACTAAGTCAGTTCATGATAATTTAAGTTTATTTTATATGATCCATGAAAATATATTATTGTATATTATCGATATTATCTCAAGATATTATAGATATTATCTCTCTCTCAGTTCATCAGAAAATGAGCATTAGGTACCTATATGTCGTTTTCGGTTAGTTTTTTTATTGGTGTTTTTTTCTATTTTTATTTTATTGCTAAGATAATAATTATATGTATTAGATTTGTATTTAAACGACAACCCGTAAGCAAGTATGACCATCACAGCACAAATAACATTGCACCACCTCTCTGCAAGTCATCAAATCAATATGAAATCATTTTTAACATTGTTTCTGGCATTTTCATGACAATAATGTTAAGTTTAAGGATGTTTTACTTTTTAATACCTACAATACACAGTATTATTATTCTCCTAGGATAGTCGTTAAAATCGGAAGTTTACCTACATATTTTTGTTTAACCAAAAATTCCATTGTTCCTAGAACAAAAAAGAGCTAATGACATGTTATTTTGGTTACGAACCAGTTGTTATATTATTTTGAACTTAATTAATGAATAATTTTATTAGTAGATACTTATTTGAGTAATAGTTGCAATATTTATAAAATTCATTTGTTTGTAGATATAGGAATTACTTGTAGTGTTTGAAACATTACGTATCCACATTGCTGAGCGATGTTGCATTTCGTAGAACATACAGTGTCCATTTTGCCCGGGATCCAACGTCGCACCGGGCTTGAATACAAAAAAAATGTTGCATTATTTGGATTGTAATCGTCATTTTAGCCATGCCGGTATCCCTATTGCATTGCCATGCAGTAATTCTTTCTTCATACAATTTACTGTTTTACACAAAGTTCTTTCTTATAATGATAATACATATATACATAATAAAGATTTATCCAACCAATTAAAGTTATTTTAAAGTACTCAAGTGTGTAGTTGGGTTTAGCCATCTGAAGTGCTAGTATCAACTGAAAATTCTTCCAGTCATCATGTTTTAGCCACTGCAGTTATCGAAACACCATCGCCTCTATCGGCCAGTACCAATAATTTAACTCCAGTAAGAGAAAGGCCTTTACGAACTTTATTGCCTAGATATTTTTAGCAGACTTCAAAAGGAGGAGGTTGCAATTCGTATTTTATTATTTTGTTTATGGTCAATTCATACTAGCATAGAGTAGAAGCGCATCGAAGCGATTTTAAGAATACTAACATAGCAAAAAATCTCTTGTCTCTGCAGCGTAATCCACATATTCCTTCTGAAGCCCAAGCAGGAACTTTGACAAGTCAGTGATCGTATCGTCAAATGTTGTATGGAAGAATTCAGTTTGTTATTACTTCCGGTAGGGGCGCTGCTTAGTTTTCATAGAAACTGACGCTGCGATACGAGGATTACAGCTGGATAACAGAGCTGTCAAAGTTCACGCTCGAGCCTTGCGCCGTCAATGGTGATTTGCTTTTCACGTTTTTGAAATTCGCTTCGATGCGTTTCGTTTCTGCCACAGAACACAGAAAGGTTTCTATGTTCTGTGGTTTCTGCGCTAGTATGAATTATTACAATCTTACAATCACAAAACAACTATTGATAAGAAACGAAATCTAGTCTACTGGAGGTTGATTAATGTTACTGGCCGTACATAAACACGCCTCAAAATAGTTACAGCGAGACATAGGCTAACAACACACGGATCTGTCTTTCCCCGCACCCGGCGGCCGCAGAGCTGTTTTATTTCAAAACTCACGAGACCGCAGTTTCCTACGGTCTCGCAGCAGCCGTCATGGCTGAGAGTTCGGGCGAAACCCGTCCCATCTGCGGGCGGAAACAGCACCGCGTTTTACCTACAATTTCACATTCTACGGGAGATGCGGGAGAAAATCGCGATGGAGTTCTTAGCCAAAGGTGCCGAAAACTTAGACCTTACTTAACTTGCTACAGTACCTACGTATTGTATTGTAACAGTTAACTACTGTAAAGAATTAAATAAAAGTTTTCTACTCCTCGAGTGTTTCTCTTTAACTCTGTAATCACCTATGGAGTTAGTTCGTACGGGAGAACATACAAAACACATAAAGATAAAATAAATATACTACTAATAAATTTTTGAAAGTGTATTTTGAGTAAACAGCAAAGTATTAGAAATAATGTGAGTGAAGATGATTAAATATATTTAAATATTGTGAAGTAATGAGTATTTACAATAAGACAAGGTTGCAAAATACTAAATGATGAAAATAGATATATCCCAAACTTAAAAGAATGGCTTAGGTCAGTGAGACTGAGGTATTTATTGTATCTGAAAAGCTGTGACCTTCCAAATTATAATAATGTATATGGTACTAGAGTTGAACAATATTTATTACCTAAAATACTTAATAAACTCCCTGAAGAATTAAGCCAACTTATTAAATCAGGCGCTAAGTATAAGTCTAAGCTAAAAAATAATTTCATTGAATAAAAGCCCGTAAATCATCTTTTATTGTAAACTATTCATTTTGAATTACAGAACTGTCAATGTAGTTATGTGGTGGTTAGGTGATTTCACAAGGCTGTAGCAACTTATCTATGCCAGATAAACCATAACCTCCATATAAATTAAGGAAGACTAAGCTTGGATTAGTTACTTTGTTTTGTCTCTGTCTATTGAATGACAAATGGCTTTTGAGTGATATGAACAAAACACGGTGTTACTAGTCCAAGCTTAATCCTTGTTTATTAATAAGGCGGTTAAGGTTTTAGGCCTGGAATGTAAATAATTTAATTGTATACTTATAATTTAAAATAAAGAGAGACAAAAATACCTGCTTTTAAACTGAACTTTTTATACCAAGATGGAAGATGGACCTGCTTTGAATATATTGTTCGTACCTCTCTTTACTTACTCGATGCTTTGGATAGGTACCTTGCAAAAATGTGCAATACTTCGTATATTTCCAGTCGCCCCCGCGGGGATTGCCACCGTATGCAAATGGGAATAAACTAAGTGAAGTAAAGGCAATGACTATTTCCATTTGGCTCCAGTGGCAGTCCCCGCGGGAGCGGCTGGGAATAAACGTTCCGTTTTCATATTCCCATTTGCCTCCAGTGGGAATCCCCACGGGAGCGACTGGAAATATATGAGATCCTTTTCATTGCCGACATGGATGAGACTAACCAACCTCGTAATATTGCTTCATTATGGACATTCGTTCAACTATATCAAGGAGCGTTCTGAGAAGTTGTCCCATCTCCTCTCGTTCAAAGGATGACGGGTACTAGCTTACCATGCATGTGGTAACCCTAAGCAAGCTGTCAAAACAAAGATCTGACCAACCAAATCTGAGCTGAAGAAAATATCAAATGTAGTCTTCTTTAGGAACCATCAGATTAATTAAAAAATCCTATGGGAACTGCAAATAAAAGTACAGCTCATTACGTACTTTTAGAATTTTATTGTACAAAAATTGATAATTGAGTAATATACATAGTGACCTATTCAGTCAAAATTAATATTTTACATTACGTTTTGCATAAATGCTAGAATATGAATTTTGTGACCATTCTTATTTCATTCATATCTTCACATTGCTTGCTTATTATCAAACTTGCCAGATTTCATTCTGGTACAAATACATGTTATAAGAGAATCAAAAAAAAAACAGCGTGTAATTGGGTAATTTATTGAATTAGGCTTTTATGGAACTGAAAATTTTAGTATAAACTTGAAAATGTAAATTAAATGAGTGCTTCTATCACATGAACAATTTCAGCTATCAGCAATAAAGCTTAAAATTTATGTTCATCATATGGAGCAGTCATGTAATTCTTACCTATAGTGTGTTCAATTAATTTACAGCTTGTTTTTGATTATTGCTCCCACCTGATTGCTCCTCTTTTTTTCGTTGTTTTTCTCGCATCAATTCAGCATCCCTAAAACATGAAACAACTGAGTATAACACTTGCTGCCTTTTCAGAATTGAGAAAAATATTCTGGGATGCCGTAACAAAAATCTGTGACCTTGTGCCATCGGAAAAAATGCAATAGGTGTTTTGTTATACTAAACAATTTTGATTTATAAGTTATAAATGTATATAAAAATAAGTTTTCTCAAACATACTTGGAAGTAAGAACATTATTTTGACAACCTTCTCAGAGATAAATCTAAATTTCTGTACTGGCCACATACATGCGAGCAGTGGCTGGCAAAAGTTGTATGAAAATCCATATCAGTGGTGTTTTAGCGGCCAAATATATTACATAGTAAAATTATATCTCTTGCGTAATTTGAGAATGGAACGATTTTTACTCTGAAACATGGCAACCAAGGTAAGTTTCAAAGGTTTTATTTAAATTTAGAACTGACCTGCAAAATCGAGTGATTTATTGAAAGAAAAACAAAACAAATGAATTCAAGTGATGTTGTTGTTCCACTTTGAAAACTAGGTAATTATATTTTAAAATAATAAGTTTTGCCTAGTAGTGCAGGCGCCAAAGGTAGTTGAGTATGCAAAATGTGAGGACCGCCAACTATCCTCAAATTCTTTTATCTGAGATACCAAACAAAAAGAAAACCCATGTTGCCAGCCGCTGTGTTGGTCCCTTTCCCTTTTACCCGCCCCTCTCCCCGCCTTGCGCGTTGATACGTCGTAGCGCTCGGAATAGTCAGTAGAAAATAATTCTTAGTGCGCAACGATTCATTTTTTTTTGTATTTACGTAATATTATTTGAGTGATGATGATATTTCTATAAAATATCTGGAGTCAACTTTACGGAGTAAAGGTCAAATTATGAAAAATTTTATAATTTCAAATGAACATACAAAAATTCCGGCTAATTGTAATAATTTCTTTGCAAGCACTGAAAATAAGTTACAGCTCGTTCGATTTCTCTGTATGCTGCTCCTAAATATGCACAAATAAAAGAAGATTGCGAGTTATATATTTGTGGAGGATTTGATGATCCAACAAAATGTTTCAAATTACAAGGTTCTTCATTTGTTGAGGTGCCTGACTTAAATTCGAATCATTTAGAAGCCGATTCAAGGATGTTTTGTCACATATTTCACGCAGTAAAAATCCAGTCTGCCCATGTCATAATCCTTAGCACTGATACAGATGTTTTCATCCTAGGAATTTATTTTTGAAATAAGCTAGCACGTCTAGGTTGTTTAGGTATATGGTTCGATGGTTCTTATAAGAAGAAATACATTTTAGGATGTCATTTGGCTGCTCAATCCCTTGGAGAAAACATTTGTCGTATTTTGCCAGCATTACACTCTCTAAGTGGTTGCGATTCGACTAGCAGATTGGGCTCGAAAAAAAAAGCTTTAAAAGCTGCAACGTTGGATTTTGTACAAAAAGCTCTAAGACATTCAGGAATCCATATCTAAGCGTAGAACAGTTAATAGAATAGAATTAGAAACCGTTTGCGTCTATCTTTTCTCAAGAAAATATTAACTGCTAATGACCTTCGGTATAAATTAATATCTCAAAATATCGGATTCAACTTAAAGTTATTGAAAGTAATTTGCACATCAGATGCTCTACATTTACATTTGTTAAGAGCTTCAGCACAAACATATATATGGATAAAGGCTCAGCAAACACTACTACAGCCTATTGATTACACAGTATTAGGCTATGAAAAAAAAAGATGGTAAATTATACCCACGACAACTGACGAAGCAACCATTGCTAGAATCGTTGATCCAGCCCTGTAAATGTAGATCAAATTGTCATACAAAGGCTTGTTCTTGTAAAAAATTACAAGTAAATTGTATTTTATCGTGCAAATGTATTCATAATGACTGTGAAAATAAAGAAGATTAATTATTTGTATTTTTCTGTATGATTTGTGTTCAAACTTGCTTTTTTATCTTATTTGCTATTTTTATCAACAATTTTTGTTTTTATTTTTAATCTTTTTGTTTATTTTTCAATTAACTAGCTATAATTATTTATAATTATAAGAAACTATCGGATATCGTAACTAAAATAATCATTGAAATGATTCCTAGGCATTTGTTCATACTTGATATCTAAGGGGGTGGGGTGTAAAAAAAAATGGACCAATAAATCTCCCGGCAACATTTAGAATCATAATCTGCAAGCTTTCCAGAGCTCAAAACTATACACAGAATGCGGTCCTCATATTTTGCACACTCACTTCCATCCAGCGCCCGGTCTATAGGTACTACTTAGTTTTAATTTCTGCACATTATTTGGCAAAATACTATACAAGGCTTGGCCACAATTAGGCATTGATGGACTTACGTATGTGTGCCTCAGCTTCGCCTCTGCCCACATTTACATGTTCATCTATCAAAGCCTCTTTTGCTGGCTGCTGCAGTAATGCACAATTATTATATTCTATTGCCAGTGTTTTTTCAAAATAATTATCTTTTTTGTAAACTTAAAAGAGCAATCAATACTACTATTTTTGAAAACAACATTATGTAGGTAGTTGAAACCAGCTGGTTGTCTTTTTTTAATTCAAATATTTTATCCACAGCAGGTCCAATTTAGTTGATAAAATGAAATCAGAGAGAGAGAATGTACATGTAATGTTGACATATTTTGTGGACTGTAACATTTACTGGTACTAACATTGGCTCTTTTTAGAGCAAAACGTACCCCCCACATAGCAAAAGCATGGGATTTAAAATACTACCTATGCTTTCTCTCTTGCAGAGACAAACCAGTCTTCTCATTGGCATTCTTCTTCTTTTGCATTTCTTGTTGTTTTTTCTGGTTCTTGGCACGAGCCAAATCTCTCTGATTTCCACCTGTAAAATTAAGTAGAGACTTAAAATACACGATTGAAATAGACTAATGGGCTATTGCTTTTATAGTAAGGCAAGTGTGGTATTTGTTTTCTCAAAATGTTGCAAGATGTCTATTGTCCACACAAGTTCTTAGCGTCACAAATTAGGTGCGATTCTAAGATGTCACAAGAAATCTAGAACATTCGAAGGAATGTGATCAAAAGCAGCAGCAGTAAATAGTTTGAAAGGCTGTAGACTTCAGTCGTCCAAATATTTCGATATCCAAAGTAAACATATTATTTATTAAGAGGGGGTAAGTACTTACGGGTCATCCTGGACTTGTTACAAAATATAACAAAGTCGAATCAGAAAGTCCAAAGCACGGACGATACGCTAGCCTGGTCGAAACCTAGGACAACGCACCGCCCTCCCTTCTTCCAATAGTAATGAAACTTTGAAGAAAACTAAAATGTACCTGGCTGGAAACAGCACAGCCAGCTGGTCACAACCACAAACAATGAATCGTATGGCGGCACTCAGTGTTACCAGAAAGTCATTTCGCCTTCCCCCCAAATCTTACTCGAAATCCCCCCAAAATAGAGGTTTTTAAAGGAAAACCCCCCAAAATGCAAAATATTTCTTAAAAATACAATAATATTTACTACTTAACATGTATTTCTGCACAAATTACGATTTAGCAGAGCAAAGATGATAGATATTGTCGAATCGATATGCAGTTTAAGCTATAACGATTGACTGATTTGCTTGACTTGGCCAGTGTTGGGCGTAATTAATTACTTTTGTAATTGAATTACTTTAATTGAAATTAAATGTATTTGAAATTACTGTAATTCAATTACTTACGTCCGAAGTAACATAAATTACATTAGTTTGTAATTCAAATTACTTTTTAAGGGTAACATAATAAACTACTAAAATTGAGCGGTTATTAGCTTGATGCCCGTACGCAGCATAACACAAACAAAGTTTTAGTGTATAATTTGCCATGAATTTATGAGTGTGTAAGTGTGCGCCTCGTTACCAGTACCTACACAGCTACCTAGCCCTTTTCTAGTCTCTCGGCGGCGTGCACTTTTATTTCGATTGATTGTTCTCATATGCTACAATGATACTTACCAAAATCTTACACAGTTTCTGATCAAATGTTTGAACAAAGAGTAGTATTAATGTCTAATTTAAAATAAATTAAACATTTATGTCTTAATTTTAAACAAGGTGGTTATAATTACACTATTTATCTGATCTATTTCTTAAATAAACATTTGATAAATCATAATACACTCCCGGACTCTTGAATCTAGCCACCTTACATTTCCTAAAAGCCCAATACACAAAAAATATACAATATAACAAAAAAGTTTTTATGCATTTTTAAAGCTGGCATATTTCATCGTCTTTCCCGTATGTATTATTCCAAATTAGAATTTTAGAATTTAAAATAAAGAACAAAAGCCGAGCTTGGTCACTGATTTGAAAAAAATAATGACTGTTGAAAATATTTCGTAAGCTAGTAGTGACAATCAATACATTGTCACTACTAGCTTACGAAATCGATACCTTAACTCTGTTCAGATACAAGAACAGCTCAGGGACTTTCACGGAGTGGCTGTAAGTGCTCGGACCGTTAGAAGGCGACTCAATGAACATGGTTTAAAGCCCCATAAGCCAGCCAATGAACCCAAATTGACACGAGCACACCGAATAGCCCGTCTAGAGTTTGCGCGCGAACATCTAAATTGGACTCGACATCAATGGAGCCAGGTTCTCTTCACAGATGAGTCCAAGATAATGGACGGAAGGAGTAAGGTGTACCGAAGACAGAACGAGCGTTTCGCGCAATGCTGTATTGAAGAGAAAGTGAGTTATGGTGGAGGATCATGGACAGTCTGGGAAGGAATCTCTATGGAAGGCAAAACTGAGCTAGAGGTAGTAACGGGACCACGACTGCCGCACCTAGATGGCAAAAGATACATTCGCCAATGTTTAGAGAACCACGTGATGCCATATGCTGGATTTATTGACCAAGATTTCGTTTTAATGCATGATAATGCAAGGGCCCATACTGCGGGAATCGTCAGGGAGTACTTAAATGACATTGGTATCACTGTTATGAGATGGCCAGCGCGAAGTCCTGATATGAATCCTATAGAGCATCTATGGGATGAGCTGAAGAGGCGTGTTCGAGCTCATCATCCTGCCTAGCAAACCATGCAGGAGCTCAAAAATGTAATTTTGGAAGAATGGGAGGACATTCCTCCAACCTGTCATAACGACATTGATTAATTCTATGCCAAACCGTATGAGAGCTGTCTTAAATGCACTGGGAGGCAATACAAGTTACTAAATAAACATTTCTTTTCATGTAAAACATGTCTTTATTTAAAAATCGATTAGATTTTTTCCTTGAAAAAAGCAAATATGGAGAATATTGTTTCAACGTAACTCGACTTATTTAATAAATTGTAGTTCAAATTTAGAACAGTGGGCCCAATTCTGGCGTGCCAACTTATATCTAAAATTAACTAAAATTAGATATAGAGTTGTCAAATTCAATTTGGTATTCTGTAATGACACACTATCTCTAAATTTAAAATTGACGTCGCTAAGTTATTCAACTTAGATTTAGATGATTAAATGGTATTCTGAAACGCATTCTAAATGTCATATTTTCTCTGAAATTAGAAATGTCACACTAAATTTAAGAAGGACCTACGGAGGTCCTCTCTAAATTTAAATGTGAATAATTGAGGCCAAATATCACGTAAATGATTGCTGTTTTGAACTTGATGTTAAGGTTGGACATGGGTTTATTTCGTTAAAAAGACATAAATTTTATACAATAATGAACGACGACGGAGATAATAATATATTAGCTAGATCTTTTTTTTTTTTTTTAAATGATAGGTGTCTATGTTTCGATGCGGATTTATTAAAAGCATATTAATGTGTCATAGCCTAATGCGGCTTAGTGAGGGCTAACGACTGCAGATGCAGCGAGCAGCAACATAGGAACTCGATATAATAAATACATTTTGGGTTGATCACCCATCCTAAGCTCGGCCATTGTGAAAATTGCTTAACATTCACGATCGCAGAACGAAAGCGTTACACTTGCGCTATTGTGGTCTTTCGTAGGTAATGTACACGTATATCTTGTATAAAATACTAAATAATTTAAGGTAAAATCTTTTATAACATAAATAAAAATCCACTTCATATAAAAACAAGCTAAAAAGGTAAGAAATCTAGGTACTAATTCTATAGGTGGTTTTGTTTCTATGAAGCAGTTTTTAATATTTGTTGAATATGAAATGTTTTTACTTCCAACTTTTTATAAGCTAATCATATTTCTTAAAATAACCAAACACGAAATAAGTACCTACTGTTTGTAATTGAAAAGTTTGTTTTTATAGATCCGAAACTTGGCATCTTCACCAAATGAATAATTGGGATTTGGAACGATCTCGCCATAAACTGATAGAAACAAAAAAGATAAAAATAGGTTACGTATCTCGGATTATACAATAAATGAGAATAAAATCTTCACAAAACAGCCGAGGGGATAATTACAACCTCTTACCGAAACCGAAATATATAAACGTAGGTAGGTACCTACGAGTAGGTAATAGATAGATTAGACCGTGTAGGCGGTAGCAGAGTTAACTAATCATCATCATCAGCCTATTAATATCCCCATTGCTGGGGCACAGGCCTTCCCTATAGATGAAATAGGAATATGAAATACCACGCAGGCCCAGTGCGGATTGGCGGGTGCTAACGACTGCAGATGCAGCCGGGACCAACGGCTTAACGTGCCTTCCGAAGCACTAAGGAACTCGAGATAGAAGATTTTTGGTCACCCATCCAATGACCGACCACTGCGAAAGTTGCTTAACTTCAACGATCGCAGCCGAACGAGCTAATCGTCTGCGCCATCGAACTCTTCTAGGTAACTTATATTAAATAATCTATTTTACATGGATTATGGACACATTCATGCTATGGCGGTAACTGACTAACTGCCAGGCGGTAATTGACTGACAACCGAGCAACAAATGAAACAACGCTCGGAAAAAATTTGGTCCCGTATCGGCTCTGCCACGGCCCTCTGCATGAATACAGCGCCGGCGCGGTGCCGCCGGTCAATCGTAGTGATACCTCAGACAAAACAATAAACGTTTTTGCTCGGACGAGACACTGTAAATTACAGATCGGCTCGGTTACCATGCTACGGCTGAAAATCGCCTCAGGACTCGACACGGTCCATCGTCACTGATCATCCTTAATAGATTTGTTAGGTACGAAAATCTAGTTGGTACCTATATTTTAATTTTATTTTAAAAGTGGTAGATTTCCCCATCCTTTTGCCAAAACAAATACTTGGCATTTTCTAAGAAAAAATATGATTATTAAAGTTCTGCCCGCAGATTTAATTACTCCAAGTTCTTATTTTTCCCCAAACTAAGGATAAACACTCCAAATCTAGAAACCCTAAGTACCACAGAGTAGGCAAGTATTCACTCTATAAAATGGATTCATAATTTGTCATGCAGTAAAATAACAAACTTATTTTAAGTTTCCATATTTCAAAAATTATGAAGAACAACAATGAATTACTGAAATAAGTCAAAATCACTGAATAATAAGTAATTATTGCTAATTTGAGTAAACCGATAATTACCGGTTCAATGCTTTTACATAATCTGTGAATTCAATTTACATGCTCGTTTACAGCTGTCAACTGTGTCCTTCATTTAGTTAGTTCGCAATTTCAGAATACCAATTCTCTAAACCTAAACTAAAATTACCTCTCTAATCTAAACGTAGATTTAGAGAATGTAACGCAAGAATCGGTCCCACTGGCACTCTAAATGAATGATGGGTATACCAGCTCCAAAACTGCCTCAAAACATTTTCCTTCTACATACATCTTTTATAAGTTACAGTACTCCAAACCAAATAAATCAAGGTGGCTCGATTTAGGTGTCCGGGAGTGTATAATAGTTTTATTTACAATACTACCTCGTCTTTAAAAGAATTAACAATTACAATTGCTAATTGTAATTGTAAATTGAATTACATTTCAATAATTTCAAGTAATTTGTAATTAAAGTCACCAATTACAATTTGTAATTGAAATTGTTAATTTGAAGTTAATTATATTTTGCCCAACACTGGACTTGACATGGACTTAACTGACCGAGCGACTGAGCAAGACGGATTGGACCGACGACTACATTTTTTTTATGTGGGCTTTGGACTTAGAGGCAGTGTTGCCAACTCGGATTTTGAAAAAGGCGTAGGCCCGATGAGAAAGATTTAGTAATTTTTGCATATAAAAAGTACGTAGATCTACGTACTTTTTTCTGAGTGAAATGAAGAAGTTAGGTGAAACCGAATGAAACGTGTATTTTGTTATACAATTTCTTTAAAAACGGGAGATAGAACAAAGAGTTCTTGGAAAAATCGCTGCATTGGAAGCATTTACCATGCTGTGGTAGACCATGACCA